ATTAGAATTGATCCCAGGGTCTGCCCCACCCTTGCAGACTTGGCCCCTGGGTCATAACTTTGAAACGGTTGAGATCCCCACCCCAAAACTATATATACAAATGCTTGGCAAAAAGAGACAAATGCAGTCACGATATTAGAATCGATCCTGGGGTCTGGCCACAACTCTAGGGACCTAGTTTCTGAGTCAAAGCTTGGAAACAGTTGAGATCCCCACCCCATAACCATACATAAAATTGCTGGGCATGAAAAATCTAATATAGCTATGCTACAAGGATTGGCCTTGGGGTCTGGCATATTCCCTTGATATCATTTGGAGAATAGTTTGCCATGATTGCTTAGGTATCCAGGTGAGCGATACAGGCCCTCTGGGCCTCTTGTTAAAAATGATGTATTTGCTTTATTGCTGTCCTCATTAAAAGTTATTTTTTGCAGTTGAGAAAAAATATTCCGTGTCACATTAGCAACATCACCTGTGGTTTGCCTTGTAACAAAGACCTACCCTGTGGTACACACAAGTGTCTCCGAACATGTCACAAGGTATGTATAACAATGGCTATTTTGAATCTTAAATACAACATGGTGTACTTTGTGATCACAACCCAGGATGTATATAAACTACCACATTAATCTCTTGCCATAATTTACCTAAAAAGTAACCCGGGTGCTTAGCATTTTGAGAAAAAATGTGATTGCAGAACCTTCAATACTTTGAATGATTAGCCAATACTTTAAATGATTAGCCATCACTGGCCATATTTCAAGAAAGTTTGTAACTATGGTGAAGTAACAGGAAGTTTATGCCCATCAGGGTTAGGTACCAGAAAAAAACTAGGGATCAATTGCAGCTGGAGGGGTTGCTCATTAGGTTGAATTTGTATTTGAAATGTTGTATGTAAATTATATTTTATTGTAAGCAAAGTCTCTAAACAATTTTGGTCCAAGATTATAAAACTGACAGTGACCTAAATGTTGGCTATTTACAGGGAGAGTGTCAGGAGGATGGGACCGCCTGTGTCCAGCCCTGTTCCACTCCTCGTTCAGTCTGTGGTCATCCATGTGGCGTGCCATGTCACAGTGGTCAAGACTGCCCAGCCCTGCCCTGCAAAGCAGAGGTACAGTATCATTGGTCTTTTAACAGAAGTCTTCCACAACAGAACAACTGTATAAAGCACATAAGTCTTATTTGCCTCAGAAACATATTAGAAGGGCATCAAGTGTTGGGCTTTTCCGTCCAACTCTCTGTCAAATTTTGTTGCAAAACAAAGATGTCAATTTCTATGTGTTTGGCCAATCCCTTTAACTCCTCTGAAGCCATGAAATGTCCATCCGCATGAGGATTTATTACCAAGTGAGGGTATAAAAAGTAGGGTCAATTGACAGTACTGGAACATTGTTCACAGAGATGTAAATATGACTGACACCTTGTATGTATGGTGTATGTTACAGATCATCATTAAGTGTCCATGCGGGAGAAAGACGGCCCGACAGTTCTGTATGGCAGGCGGCTCAAGTCCGGAACTGGAGGAATTTCAGAAGTAAGTCAGTATAACTGGAGATGGATACGACAGTTGACTGGATATCGCCACTATTCTGAATTATTTATTTATTAGCCACTACCAATACAGTATTATTTACCTGTCGATTTAAACACCCTTTCACTACTGTAGACCATAATGGACTTAACCAGATCAATGCATAGTAGAGTCTACTAAAGTTACATAGGGTTGAAAGGGTTTAACAAAAGCAATACATTTTTTTCTGATTTTATATTTAAAGACATTTTTTCCACATGTTCTTTATTTTAATTCACCTACAGATATATCCATGGCTTCTATCAATCACAGAATTTCTCAATATTTTTAAAGTTATAATGTGTGGGGATTTAACCCTTTCACCACTGTAAACCATAATGGACTCATCCAGACAAATGTAGTATGGCAGAATCTACTGAAGTTACTTAGGGCTGAAAGGGTTAATATTTGTTTCACACATCAGAATAAAAGTGAATGCTATTAATCAGATGCAACAGTGAAATGTACAAATGTACAAAAGTTTTGTGGCTGTTTGACTGTAATCGATTTATGTCTCATTTTCAGGATAGCTGTACAGTCTCTAGCAAGTGCTGCTGGTTCTGGTCAGACTGTTGATATGTCCAAGTTAACATCAGTCGCAAAGAAAGTCGCCAAACGACAGTAAGACCAATTTATTATTCTGACTGTAATACTGTACAATAAATACAATCAAGATAGACTTCTTGTGGAAAGATTCATATAGCACAACCAAAAAGTGTTTATATGTAATTTTTCTATATAAAAATCGAAATATTGGTTGTGCTACACGAATCTTTTCACAATCCATACTTACGAACCGGAAGAAAATGTTTAGAAAGATAGACTTTGTTTTTGATTTTTATCAACCCTTAACATTTAATATGACCCGAATTATTGCCAGAATATGTTTTATAAGCTATCTGCAAAAACATTAAAGGAACCTATAATGTCCTCTTATCTCATCCCTTTTGTTTGTCTATCCGTCTGTCAGATGACTTTGTCCAGAGCATATCTTTGAGACTATATTATGTTTAAAAATCTATTGATGTATACCAAAACTTACATGGTAGTTCATCTTAGAATGGAAAAGGGGGCCACTGTGGCCAAGTGATTAAGACGTCTGACATTCTGCTACCACTAGCCCTTTTGTTTGTCTATCTGTCTGTCAGATGACTTTGTCCAGAGCATATCTTTGAGACTATAATATGTTTAAAAATCTATTGATGTATACCAAAACTTACATGGTAGTACATCTTAGAATGGAAACGGGGGCCACTGTGGCCAAGTGATTAAGGCGTCTGACATTCTGCTACCACTAGCCCTCCGCCACTGGGTCGTTGGTTTGAGGCTTACATAGGGCAGTTGCCAGGTACTGGATGTAGGTCACAGGGTTTTCTTCGGAAACTTTGACTTTCCTCCACCACCAAAACCTGACACATCCTTAAATGACAATAGCTGTTAATAGGATGTAAAAAAACCAACCCGAAAAGAATGGAAAATTGCCGCATACAAAAATAAGGTCACTGTCAACTACATCTTGACCTATTTAAACATCAAGGGAAAGATCGCGTTCACTGCATATATGGAAGACTTCCTGATAACGTCACCTAACTAGAACGATTATTTTGACAAAATTTGCAAAATTAATGGTGTTTTTTGTGTCTACAGACTTGAATGTGATGGAGAATGTGCCATCATGGAGAGAAACAGACGCATGGCACTCGTCCTGGAGATAAGGAACCCAGACCTCAGTTCCAAACTCGGCAACCCGTCCTACAATGACTTTCTCAAGGAGTATGCCAAGTAAGTACCATTAAAACTTGAGTGTTCAGTTACAAGTAAAAAATTCAATTACAAAATGTTTTTAATGGGTATTTAGATTAAAATGTTTTTAATGGACTCTTAAAAAATATGTTTATAATGTAATTATCCAATTCAATACATAAATATCCAAATAGTTTAAAGTTGTCTCGTTTTAAATGAACAAAATAATGTGTCCATTGCATCAGGGATACCGTATAGCAGAAAATTTCTGTAGGGATGATATTTTTCGCAATTTCGCGGGTCAGTTATGTGATCACAAAAATAGTATGATAAGCTTAAAAATTAACTGCAATAATAAACTTCATAACCATAATAGTGTCATGAAATATTGTGCATGTGGTTGTGAAGATTTAATACAAAGAGAGTAATGATGTTTGAAATTAGATTACATCACACATCTAATACATTTGTTGATGATTTGCATAACATTTTACACTTACACTTTATATGCCAAGTGTCTGGTCTCTGTGTTAAACACCGCAAAAATCTAGTTCCTTCATCACAAAATTATAATCTGTGTAAGTTTGATTTTCTAACTTCGAAATTGCGAAAATTTAAGCCCACAAAAATATATATACTTATATTTATGACATGTATTGGGGGTTTGGTGGTTGAGGGGAGTGATCTATGTAATGGTTAACATTTGTACAGTGGGCCAAAGGAAAAATATAAAATTGAGTGTGGTTAGATGGCTGCCCCAAGAAACATTTCTAGGATCTATTTAATTTCAACTACTAAAACCACTGTGAAACATGCCATACCTCATAAGCAAAGGGATCAGCAGTATGATTTCTGTCTTCAGTGACAACAAACTTATTATTTGTTCATGGATGGAGATTTCTATTGTTCTGGGGAAATGAAAAGTCAATAGTTCATACATGTAGATGTTTTCTAGTTTTTGAAAATCAGATCAAATGAGACCATGTTTTAGATTTTTTTTATCATTGATTTACTGTGAAGTAAGACATTCAACCTCCCCTCCCCAATTTTTTTTGAATTGAGAAAACAATAGAAAAGATGCCATTTTTGCCTTTCATTGCGATTTCATAATGCTTTCTTATTGTTCCTTTTGCCATCACTATGTGAAATTACACGTCACTTATGGAAAATGTACAGGTTATTGATATTACGCTGAAAAATACCAGATGTTTATTATCAAACTTATAGGCTTTGTTCACATAGCTATATATAGGTATCATGTTCTTTTATCTGTTACATTTGTATATCATTTCATTGGACAGGAACAATCCTCAGAATGTGGCATCCATCGACAAGGCCTTCTCCACTCTGGTCCAGAATGCTAAAGGGGTAAGCTACCTCCACACTAAGGCTCTTCCTTTAACATGATAAAGGGGGCATACCTTTAACATGATAAAGGGGGCATACCTTCAACATGATAATGGGGGCATACCTTTAACATGATCAAGGGGGCATACCTTTAACATGATAAAAGGGGCATTCCTTTAACATGATAAAAGGGGCATACCTTTAACATGATAAAGGGGGCAGTAATATATTTACAGCCTTAAAAACCGAAGTGTACAGTAGAGACGTTGTTTGATATCAGCCTTGTCATATTACATGTAATGGAACAAAATGACTTCTTTTAAATAATCCTAAGTATGGTCAAGTGGTGCAGTGACTAGCCGACTTTCTACTTGCTTTTCACCCAGATGTCAGATGTTTCTTCATGACTTGATATTGAGCGTCCAGTATAAACTGCAGTTTATGTTCTGTTTCTAGCATGACATTACTTTTATTTGGTGTTGCCTTCCTTTTTGTTGAGGTTATTACACCAACATACCATGCATTCCGCACACATACACACATGTAGGCATATACAACACACATAGAAGTACACCTTTAAGGATCCCTGTACTGTAACTGAGTATTGAAGTCTGTTTTTCCAGCATGACTGTTGATTTGTTCAATCGTTTCTGAAAAGAAAATCATACCTTGCAGGCTAGGCCTTTTAAATAAATGAAGAAGAAATAAACAAAATATAAATCAACAACAGTGCTCTGAGTGTAAATATTCAGCGGGTCAGACCAGGATTTGAACCCTGTACTTCAGATTGTTATACGATCGCTGTCACTGATTGAGCAATCTGATCAACAGAAGCGTCCTGGCTAAGCTGTGATATGGTTATAGTTAACTCTTTCCGTACTGTTGTCTTCACAACAACTATATGTCATCCTGGTCCCCATTGTTGTGCACAGACGTACAGACGACAAAATAATAGGTCGTCTCATCCCCGCCAAAACACACGACAACAGACTTTGGTGTAACTTGTCTTATGTTTAGCTGGTTATCGCACACGACAATCGCGTAATACAATTATTTGTCGCTAAAATCAGCACCCATCAGTTGGAAAGAAATAGTCTTATAGGTGCAGAGTACACAATTTATATTTTGTGAACTATTGTTTTTGAATTTGCCGCAAGATGTTTGCGTTTGGTGATTCAAATATAAACAATATGGCGGCAACTTAATTTGATATGAACACTCAAAAATTCATCACAAAATATTTATTTAGACTTATGGAAGTAAATATGAATATTTTAATATAAGTCTTAATGAAATCTACTAGTAATTAGAAAAAAAACTAACGACTTCGTTTTCATAAACAATAATCGATCCCTTTTAGGAACCTCCACTACAAGAATGTTTTGAAAACAAGGTTTCGTAGCTGCCCGTTAGTCATCATGTTACAGTGCTATCTTCGTGTGTAAAATCCACAAAACACTGTTGGGTTCTTTTATGCCTTTTATTCTGTAGTTTAAAAAACCCTGTAAGTACAAATACAACACATTACACATTCACTCAATTCTCTCACATAGTCTTTTTAAATCAAGGGACATAACTCGTACATATACTTCAATTATCAGAGTAATGCATAATAGTACATTAGAATAGATACGCTTTTGATTCGTCCATGTAAAAATATAATATTATTTTTACAATGTACATATCAATAATACCGAATTTACTTTTACATATCAATATACAATAGATATGAAATTACCTTATACTATTATATACAAAATATCTCTAAATATAAAATAATGCACTTCAAACTTACCCCACAGATCCTTCAGTGGTTTACAGAAATTCCTTTGTCTAGTAATGGATGTACAACCGGCAGTTGTTATGTCTACCAAGTGTTTAACATGTCATACTGTAAATGAAATAAATAAATACCTTATAAAACAAAACTAATTACTACACTTTATAATTTGGAATACAGAAATTATATACATCTGGAAAAACTGAAAACTTACTCTTTATCCATTTCTTTACATTTAATCAGAATATTATGATTAAATACATTTGTAGTGAAATAATAATTCAAACATTACATTTAACCAATATTCTGATAATACCCTACAGAATATACATATAAATGATAATAATAGAACATATATGGTTAAAAACTCACCCAGTTCTCTATATTTGTAATACTTCAAATTCTTCTGATATAAAAAGTAGATCTTATACCCTTCCAACGCCTTGGTGCTGAGTGATATAAGTTAAGTTAAAAATCATGCAGTTGTTAGCTATGACCAATAAAAATGTCCGTTGATGTCATGTGACTAAAAGTATTCACCTTCCACACATTCTTACATACAGGTAACACACAAACATTAAGGGTCCTCGCACCACATTCTTTCATCACACAACTATACTACCAAAAAACCATTTAAGGTTCCTTACACCAAGACCTTTCATGATATTAAAATCCATTCAATAGATATATATATCCCTGTTACAATCATGCTGCAAAAATGAAGAAGTGTGTGTCTATAAACAACAACATGAAACAATAACAATATTTGTTCTCGGTTACCTGTTTAATTCTTGCAGCAATTACACCTCGTCTAAAATGAACATTGATAATCCGCCATTTTGTTATTTGTGCGGGGGCGAGTCTAGTAAGGGTACGGAATCCGAACCGGATTTGCGGTACGGAAAGAGTTAAGCTGAAGTTAAGGGGAGGTTACTGTATATCAGCCAAACCACACGACAGTGGGACAGGGATCCTGACCGGACATTCAACCCAGTACAATACACCATGTTCAGCATTGCTTTATTTCATTTTGAGCATGCAGTGTTACTTAACATTATGTTCTGTGTCCAATATTATCTTCCATTATGTTGAATGTACAGTGTTACCTTATTTTATGCTCTGCTAGTTTCCTCCTTACGTAGTTCTCTTACATTATGGCCAATATTTGGGTATTGAAATGGCACTACTTGCTATTTTTTGTGTGGAAAAGTCTGGTTTATACACAAGATATTCATAAGAGGGGAAAATGGAGAGGAGGCATATAAGAAAATCGACTCTATTAGGTTGTCTATAGTCTATTGTAATTTCTGACATTACCCGGTACTGTATACGTTGTGTTATCTCTGTTCCAGTCCAAACATCCCCACCGTTCTCACCAGTTCCCTCCCATGAATCGGGATCAGCGACGAGCGGTGCACGAGCTGGCCGAGTTCTATGGCTGCGAGACACAAAGCTATGATACCGAACCTAAGAAGAATGTCGTAGCCACAGCACACAAGTAAGAACCATTTCTTTGGTTGGAAAATTTAATGTGAAATAAAATATGTTTCATGTATTTAGTAGGTAACATTTAATATACATCTGTATTATGTATGATACATTTCCATGCTTGTTGTGCACAAAGAATGTTTGAAGAGTTGCAGTAACAGAGCACCATTGTTAAATTAAGAACAAAGTTTTAGAGTCTATTACAAAAAACAGCCATGGGTAGTTGTTGGCTGAAAATGAATTGGCATTGTCTATGGGTACTTCAAGAATATTTTAAAAAATGTTCTGGATACTTAGTCTGAAACAAAATTATTAAATATAGGTGGTTTAAGTCAACTTAAATAATTTATTTATGGGTGGTTGTTTCTTTTGAAAAAGTGCCATCGGGAGGAAGGGATGTCTTTATTCTGGAATAGTCCTCTGAACAGGAATATCAGTCTAATAAACAATCTGCTGTAGTGTTGGATTATGTAATTATCCCCCGCTTTCACCGAAACGAAGGATATTAATTTAGGTTTGTCCTTCTGTCAGTCTGTCTGTCTGTCACTCTTCGTTTCTGTGCAATAACTGCAACAAATGTTAACTGATTTTCTTCAAACTTGGTAACAGGGTTAAATGCCTTGAGGGCTCGACCAAGTTCGATGATCACTTTTAGCAGACTTTATTTGGCAGAGTTATGGCCCCTTGAATAACAAAACGTCGGTATCAGTATTTTCTGTTCATTAACTCTCGCAAATATTATCGTCATTATCTGCAGTTACCGCTTAATAACTCTAGCGTGTGATAATTGCTGAAGATATTGTGCGGATATTTCAACCAAATTCCGTATGCACATTTAACTCGTGCTAAGTTTGCCAACCAATGTGATTTGTGCATATTTACAGATAATTAATGAGGTTAATGAGGTTTGTAAATTCTAATGGATTAAACGATTGATCTACACCATAATACCTACATGTTCAATAAAAAGTCTAACTTCTGTATAAGGCTTTTTTTTCTTTTGAGTTTCAAGCTATATATTATGTCTCAACATCACAATACTCACATGTTTAAACCTAACCTCATTAATGTTTACCTACAATATGTCCTGCAAGCAGGGGATATAAATTCCACGAATTTGCTTGTTACCTTTAAAGATGATATGCAAATTATTTTTTTTATGTTTTGTTTTTAGGGACAAATGTTGGTTGCCTTCTGTCACATTGACTGCAGTGATACAGAGAGAACTTCACCCTAAAGCACCAACCCCCATTCCACATGTACATGATAAGGAGGCCCTTAGGTGAGTTAAATACCCTAATACAGAGAGAACTTCACCCTAAAGCACCAACCCCCATTCCACATGTACATTTTAAGGAGGCTCTCAGGTGAGTTAAATGACCTAATACAGAGAGAACTTCACCCTAAAGCACCAACCCCCATTCCACATGTACATGATGAGGAGGCCCTTAGGTGAGTTAAATACCCCCACACACTCATTTTTTCCTCCTCCATCAATTATTTACTGTTACTATTGACCAGTCTGTAATCAGCAACCTTTGATTTTGACGAGACTTCCTACAGATGGATATAATGTCAATTTCTTGCATAAGTTTGATTTGGCCCAGGGCTTAAATTCAATATGGCTGCCAGTGGCCATCTTAGATTTTGGAAAAGAATGCTTCTATGATTCCAATGGAATTCCTGCAAATGCTTAAGATATCAAACACCTGAAAAATTCCATTTTGACACCGATCCTTTATTCCATATGACCTTCAGTGTCTCTCTGTTCCTTGCCACTGAAGTGTCTGTACAAAGGTTTCTGTATCATAATTCAGAAAGAAATGTTTTGTATCATCATACTTGTACAAGTACTTACACAATGTAGTATCAAATTTAAATAAAAATATGACTGCCAGTGATCATCTTACAGTTTGTAAATAACCTGTTTCCAGATGAATTCTGGCATATTTTAGACATATTTAATGAGACTACTGAATTCTGATTGGTCCCATGGATTCCAGATATTTTTTGAAGGAATTGTCAGATTTTCTTTGAACTTGCATGTATAGTTTCTAATTTAGTCCCTTGCTCATGTTTGTTGCTCTGCTAAATTTATGTATGCATAACGAGGCTGCTGCAATCTGATTGGCTGATGATTTCCAGATGATAAGTGTATCATTTGAAGGGATTATTGGATTGCAATGAAGCATGCCTGATCTTCATTACTGGTTACTATCCAAACTCCTTTGCTCAAACTTGATGCTGGACTAAATTTGCAAGTATTTAATGACATGTGGCAGTGTTTACGATAAAATTCCCAGTCACAGGACATTCGGTCAGACTGTTAATGGATTCTCACAGGACCAAATAAAGTTTTGTCTGACCAAGCTTTTCATTGGTATAAATGAAAAGTACACTGTTCACTTAGGTGTGTTGATTGATGATTAAGTGTCAAACTTACATATTAACACATCAGACTGTGTTGTATTCTGTCACCTATCTTATGGGTGGCTCTGGTTTAAACAAACATGATATTATTGGTGTTTATGGCCTATATTATGTTCACAAATTTAGTCTGTCCACAGTTCACAATTATAAAGTCTGCAAGTTTGTTACCCCAAGATTGAAATGAAAATTACTGCCAGCCTCCACAATCTCTTTGTGTAAACTGATGCTTATAGCGCCACCTAACTAACTGACCATTGGTCATTAATGGTCACTTGATATCTATAAATAATTAGTATGATGACCTCATCTCTAGCCTTATGCAACTAATCACGTTGTAATCAAGTAATGACATACTCTACTTAAAATTAAATTGATCTTATGATTTAAACACATGCCTTCCCATTATAAATTCACATCATTTAGATCTCCTACTAGAATACATAGAAAATAAAAAGTATATGTAAACAACATCAACACACAAAATTGAATACATTTGTAATACAGCAATGAACTAACAATTAACAACAAATTATGCATCCTAACTCTGGAGGTCCAGGAGATAGAATACCTTAGATATGTATTTGCATAAACTTAAATTAAATAAATTCAAATTCTGTGGAAAAAAAAGGAGGAAAAAACCCAATGTTCCTGTTAAATAATATTATATAGGTAAACACAGGAAAGTTATACAACACTTAAAATTTATGATAAAATTTGTGAGAACCCATCCTTAAATTGCTATGTTTACCTGGATGAAATGGCAAGATGCCCACATGATGTTAGTTATCTAACATTATCAGACTATAATATTGTTGACTTTGACTCAACATAAATTCTGGGTACATACTGTCTTGATATCAATTGTGCTTGACCTGTTTCTCAGTAGGATCTGTGTGACCATGATCTGAAATGATTTAGTTCAGCTATCGGTTAGATTTTTGATAACACAAATTTGTCCCCAGTGTATGCATAGAGTTAGTGGACACTTTTCTGATTTCCTAATTAGGCCAAACAAAAAGTAGCTTTGTTTCCTATTACATCACCCTTATAGCAACAGATGGTGTTTTAAACTATTGATCATACCAGGACAGCATAGCAAAAGTACCAAATCTTGGGATAGAACTGTTTTCGCAGCCATTGTATCCTTGAACAAACAAGGCATGGTACTCTGATTGCTTTAGTCTACCCAGCTCCACAAATGTGTGCCAGCATATGCTGGGAAGTAAATTTTAAAGGACTTGTGTTCTCCTACATCTAGGAAAGCAACATTCTATTCAGTACGTTGGAAAATATTTTTCTACATGTCGAAAAGCTATACATAGTTGAAACAGACAAAATACAAGTTATACAGGCCCTGTGAACCTTTTGTCAACATGTGTATGTTTTTGCTGTGTTACAGGAAATCTGCATCAGCAGCCAAACAGAGCACCTCTCTGCTTCCAGGCCAATCCACAAAACCGGTCGCATGGGCTTCAAGGGAAACCACTCAGACGGTACTTAAGAAGACCACCAAAACGGAGAAACAGATTGATTATTTTGAGGATTGATATACATTAATATACTGTATTTTGCGTCTTTAAACATATTATATGTATGTATAGAATTTTGTTTTTTTTAATAAGTGCTACTCTAGGCTATATCGATTAGATTTTTAGCCCACCTGATCTGAAGGAGCAAGGTGAGCTTATGCCATATCATGGCATCCGTCCGTTGTCCATCCGTACGTCAACAATTTCTGCAAACAACTCCTTCTTCTTATCCACTGATTGGAATTTAGCTAAGTTTTAATGGTAGCATCCAGTAGGGATTCAAAATTGTACAAATGGGGGGGCTGACCCCCCGAGGGGTCGGGGCCAAAATGGCTTTATTGCTATTAATGACTTCTCTAGAACTGTGTACTGGATATCAATCATATTTGATTGAAAGCATTCATGGGAGGTAGGGATTCAAAATTGTACAAACGGTGGGGCTGACCCCCGTGGGGACTGAGGCGCGGGCCAAAACAATTTTTTTGGCTATATTGGTGTAAGCGACTTCTTTTCTAGAACTAAGCAATGGATACCAACCATATTTGGTTGAAAGCATTCATGGGAGGTAAAGGATTCAAAATTGTACAAATGGCGGGCTGACCCCCGTGGGGACTGAGGGGCGAGCCAAAAAGTGTAACTTTGCTATATATTGCTTTTAGCCACTTTTCTCTCGAACTTAACGATGGTTATCAACCATATTTGACTGGTAGCATTCCTAGGTGGTGATGATTCAAAAGTGTACAAATGGTGGGGCTGAATCCCCAGGGGGCTGAGTGGCAGGGTCAAAAAAGGTGATTTGGCTATTTTGCTTTAAGTGACTTCGCTAGAACTAAGAGATGAATATCAAATATATTTTGTTGGAAGCATCCCTAGGTGGTGGGGATAAACAATTGTACAAATGGACAGGCTGAGTATAAAAAGATGAATGCACATATGCTTCCAGGATGGCTCCGTGGTCTGTCCCACCCTTGGAGACATAACCCCTAGGTCATAACTTCGAAACGGTTGAGATCCCCACCCCGAAACTATATATACAAATACTGGGCATAAAGAGACAAATGCAGTCGTGATATTAGAATTGATCCTGGGTTCTAGCCACAACCCTAGGGACCTAGTTTTTGAGTCAAACTGGGAAACAGTTGAGATCCCAATCCCATAACCACATTACAATTGCTGGGCAAGAAAACTCAAATACAGATATGCTACAAGGATTGGCCTATCCCTGTGATCTTCTTTGAAGAATATTTTGCCATGGTTGCTTAGATATCAAGGTGAGCGATACAGGCCCAGCTCTTGTTTAAAATTTTATTTTTTATTTTGTATCCCCCGATTTCACCGAAAAGGGGAATATTAATTTGGGTTTGTCCATCTGTCTGTCTTCGTTTCCGTGCAATAACTACAACAAATGTTAACCGATTTTCTTCAAACTTTGTCACAGGGTTAAATGGATTAAGGGCTCGGCCAAGTTCGATGACCACTTTCAACCAACCCAATTTGGCGGAGTTTTGGCCCCTTAAATAACGAAAAACATCATTATCTGCCGTTTCTGTTCATTAACTCGCAAATATTATACGATTGTCTTCAAACTTAGTAACAGGGTTCAACGCATTAAGGGCTCGGCCAAGTTTGACAACCACTTTAATCAGACTCCATTTGGCAGAGTCATTATCTTTTCGCTTAATAACTCTAGCAAATATTAGATAAGGCTTTATTTTCTTCGAGTTTCAAGCTATAAATTATGTCTCAACAGCTCGATACTCACATGTTTAAACCTAACCTCAATAATGTTTACCTACAATATGTCCTGCAACCGGGGGATGTAAATTCCATGAATTTGCTTGTTTGGCATTAAGTTCTGATAGAATTTAGATTTTTTTTATTTTTATTTTTTTTCTGCAATCAGTGCTACTACACACTATATTATTAGCTTGTGCACTTTTGTTCATTTTCTTTGCTAATTGTTAGTTGTCCTTGAGCCATTTTTGTTTGTACGTCATGATTGTAATTTCAGTCTTATGATCAAAATTAGATATTTCATGAATTTAGTAAAAAAAAAAGTGATGATATATAGATGAATATTTGTCCTAGATGAATTCCTTTTTTTGACTGATTAATAGAGATATTTCTGATTATGGAAGGATATTGTGACTTTATTAACCATATTTTTTCTGATTGAAAGGATTGTTTGCATGACTGTACATGATTGTGTATTTAAAGTATTTTTCTGAAATTTCGTTACCGTTGAATTAATATGGCATATATTCAGGAACTCCAGTAAATATTCATTACTTACTTACTAACTGCCCATTACGCCCAGTGGCGTGTCGGGCAAAATATTTATTGCTGTGATTTAAATGATATATGTATTCAATGTACTACAAAAATTAGTGCTCATTATGTCTATACCACAGACTTGATGTGAAGAATACACTTTTTGGTAAAATTTTACTATCATTCAGCATTTTAGTGCCTGTTCTATAGTAAAACAAATAATATACAAATGACATTATTTGTCAGTGTTGAA